TCTTGAGCAATTGGGAATACTCCCTTTTGAGGGTGTTAGAGAAGGAAAGCCAAGGGATTGTGGGGCTTCCCCGGTGCGAGGGAGTCGTTTGCCCTTGTTAGGTTTCGGGCTTCAAATGGGATCAACCACAAAAAAGTAATTTATGTTCCACCTTTTAGGTCAGATAAGCAACTAGGATGGACAAAGTTGAACTTGTGAATTTGTCTCGAAATGTGGGAGCCCCTCTCAAAGAGATATTTGCCGGTTGGTCTCCAGTTAGCAACCCCTGAAGAAGGTTCCGAGCCTGAAAACTGTATTCATTTGCAGCGGGTCTCAGATCGAAAGTGTTGCATGGTTGTGGACAAATGGGGGAGTTTCAGGGTACGTGCTGTGGTATTTGAGCAACTCTAGTTTCAACTTCCTGTGGTCAGTGCTGCCAGGGCACCTTGGATTGTGGCTAGTTTGTTGGCTGGTCGCTGGGGTCCTGCGGGCATGTTCGCTTGGATTACGATGGCTAGATAGGTGGCTAGTCTCTTGTACAACATGTCCTGTGTGTTTGTGACACTTATGCAACGATCTTATCATGATATTGCAACCGTCTTGCCGACTTTCATTATCTATAGGTATAGGTTATGTGTGCTTGTTTGCTAAGCATGACGATCTCACGCTGCAACGCTTGATCGCACGTGCAACTTTTCAGAATACGTCTGGGTTCCGCCGTCCCTTTTTGGGTGGTGGGCTCCCCCCTTGAAAAAAAAAGGCCAACCGCACAGAGGGCGCGCAACTGCTGCTCCAGGTGCCCGCTGGGCCCGGTGGTGCCCATCGATTCGGAGCGCGCGGACCGGTTCCAGCCATATTGGATGGTTGAGGCGGCCACGTTTTTTTGTTTTTGTTTTTTTTTTCCCCCGATTCAGGGGATGTCCTTGTTCAGTTTGGTTGAAAGATGGATTCGCCGCACACGGTGTCAGGTTTGGTTTCCTTTGGGTCGGCGCTTGGCAGGGGGCAAAGAAAGCACTTTGGTGTCCTTTTTTGGTTTCAGAAGGTTGGACAAGAATATGATATTTCACTGTTTTCGGCTTAGCTCCGCTAGGTCCAAACGCTCTGCTAGGGCAAGACTTGTCAACCGGATTCCCCTCTAAAGCGAAAGTATTTTATCCTGCAGATCAAATATCGTGCAATCCAACAGTCCGTCATTTGTACAGGAGTCTTCTTTGGGGGACCCGGGAACCCCGTATTCATGACTTGTGTGCTACATATGCCAATAAGTCTTCACGTACGCTAAAGGGCCACCAAGAGGGCATGTTTTTTTCAGAAACTGTATTTAGCACCCAGTGACGTTTGAACACTAATGGTTGATGAGTCTATGGCGCGTTTTTGCAGGTTGGCGCGGATGGCCAGCAGATCTTCTCGGGGCGGGCCGGGCCTTTGTCTGTGACTCGGTTGGCACTAGTTTGCTGTGCTGTTTTGCCATTTTCCAGCGCCCTGTTGTTCTTCATTATTTTGCTCCCTTCCTTTTGATGGTACTGTTTGCTTCTTTCCTTTTGTGTTGTTTTCCTTCTTCTTTGCTTCTCTGCTTCTTCGCATCCTTTCCTTATTATTTTGTTTTGTTGTGTCTTTCTTGTCTCTTTGCTTGTATGCGTTTGTCGTTGTTCCTTGCATTTTGATGTTCTGTTTGTGTTTCTAGTTGAGAGGCGTTTATTTTTGTCTCGCTCAGGCAAACATGTATAGATGTTGACATATTAACAAGAAAGGTAGCGCCGCACTGCAGCCGGTTCGCGGAAGGTTTGCGAAAGGTGTTTTCCCCGCAGAAGCTCGCGGGAGGACGTTGTTGATTTGCACTATCGTAGTTTGATTTCGTTTGGGTGGTCGTTGCCAAGCACGTTTACTAGCAAGCCGTGCACACGAATTCCCTCGCGGAAGCTACCTTCCTCAGTTTCCAGAAGCAACTTGCCTGCGGAAGGCCTGCTCGCAGAAGGTACCCTTCACACCGCGGAAGCTTTGCGGAAGGTTTCGCGGAAGGGCTGCACACGGCAATGCGCATTCAGAGAGAATACAAAACAACCACTCAGTTGGTTCAGAGGGAATTGGACCTTGCCTTTTTTTCAAGCAGAGCCTCAATCAAATGGAAGAGCACGCTGGCACTTGTCGTTTTGCTTGCCTTTTGAGCAGATTCTCGAGTTCAACCCGTTGTCCCAGCTTCGAGGGGTCCAGCTTTGCTTCCCATGTTAAGCAGGTACCCGCATTGAGACCCGCCCAACTTCAATGATGTAGTTTCTCCTCTTTTGGAGTGGATTTCCTGTAAGACTGCATGTTGTTAAACTTTAAAGCAGACACCTTTTTCTGAGAACACCCTCCAGGTTTTCGGGTTGGGTTCTCGTTTAGTTGTCGAAGTGCGAGCGAGGATCGGTGGGTCCGGCCGGAAGCATTCTCAGTAAACCGCGTAAACGCCACTGGCTGGGAAACCGCCGAACGGCCTTGTGCCAGTGGGATTTGGTCCCAGAGGCGTAGCGAGAACGATGTAGGGCCGTCCATGTGCCGTTTGGATTTGGTCCGGATATATGGGCGCCGTGACGGCGCTGGGACCCAGTGCCAGTTCGGACAGCAGCAAGCGGTTGGGCCGTCCGATTGCGATGCCGCAAGGATGAAGCCGACGGAGGGAGCCGCTGGGGACGGCGAGCACGTGACCGATGGTGCTGGAGGTGGCGGAGAGCGGTAGGGTTCGTGTGCTGTGAGTATGTGATCCACAGAGGCGTAGCGAGAGGTGGGGTGATCCGTGCGGGGGCTTTGGCTCACAGAGTCGTAGCGGGAACGAGTGCCGGTGGGATTTGGCGCGGAAAAAGCCGCGTGCCGTGGGATTTGTTGGGCGGAGGCCGTGTTCTGCGCTTGCCGGCTGAGTTGCCGGAAGAACGTGGACGGATGCACGGCGCTGGGGGTAGCAGAGGGCGCCAGGTGTTCACAGAGGCGTGGCAAGAACGAGGTGGCTGTGTGCAGTGGGCTGGGGTTCGGAGACAACATACGTGAGTGAGAACGAGGAGGGGCCGTCCGTGCGCCGGTGTTTGGCGCAGATGTTCCAGTGGGATTTGGTTTGGTTGTTCAGGCCGCAAGGATGGAGGTGAAGCGGCGTGATCCGGTGGGATTTGCTTCTTGCGGATGCAACCAGCTGGGAGGGTCCGGCGGGGATGGCATGCGAACACGAGGTGGCGGTGGATAGCAGCGAGAACAAGTTGGGAGCCACTGCGGCTTTGATGGGAGTGCCTGCCTGCTCGCGCCGCGGTCTCACTCAAAAAAGGAACGTTCTCTCGCAGCATCGGGCGCTCAGCAGCGCTCGCGACGGTTTGTTTTCGCTCAGTTCGTTTCACCCGGCTGGCATTACGCGCGCAAGCCGTTTGGGTAAAGGATGTGTGTGGCAGGTTTTCGAGCGGCTACCCACAAGGGGAGAGTGGAGCGACTTTCACACCAGGAGTCTTAGGTCGCATCGTTCTTCGTTGAGCCCCCACGGGCCATGGCGCTTGGCAAAAGCCGGAAGCTACCCAATGATGGATGGGTCAGCGGAGGCGTCAGCCCGCGTAAAACACAAGTTTCGCTACAGATCCGCGAAAACCGGCGAAGCCCGTGAAGCTTCTTGCAAGGCTTCGCACATTGGACTTAGGGACGGAGCAAGCCCGGCAACGAGGTTTCGACTGCTGCCTCACGGGTTCGGTTTTATCTTGGTCTGGTCTGATGCTTTCAGCCGTGGGCTTGCTGGGTTTGTTCTCTTGGTTTTTGGGTTCCCCCGACTCTCCTTGCTTAGGCTCCTTGAAGCAACCAGAACTCCCTGTTCTGAACTTGTTGGACTCCTTTTTTTGGTTGTGGAGTCCAAGCAGAAAAGAAAGGTTTGTTCTGCCCGTGCCCACTCAGCCAAGGTGAACTTCTTGCCGCTCATTCCGCCAGAGCCATCCGTTTAGCCAAAAGCCGGCCCTGTGTGGCCGGGAGCACAATGCTTTGTGTCCGCGCCACACCTCTCGACACGTTGTGCAGACCGCATTGTTTTTAAACATTGAAAGTTTGAGTGTGCACTAATTCAAGGTATAGCGCGTGTTTGTGCGTGTGTTGCTGCCGCCGATGAATGCCTGTTGCATTTACTTGCCAGATGGGACGCAACCGTGGCGCAGAAAGTGTTTGCCACGCTGTACATAAACTCATTTTAACCTCTGCCGTCCGGTTTGGACCCATGCCAGACTGGGTGGGATAGGCCTCCAAATGAGAGGCGATCGAGCTAGCTTTCGGTGCAAAAGATCGGCCTTGCATCTCAGCAAGGAGAACATCATGAAAGGTATTGACCGTCCACAGTGACGAGTTGACAAGTGCTCGACTCACCGAACTATCCGTATACAACATTGTAATTGCATTTTAATCTAGGCAATTTAGAGAACGGTATCCGATATCCCCAAATTTCCGTTTCAGCATGTTGTGGCCCATGCTCCATGTTGTTTGTCCATGTACTTCCAGGAGTCATAAGATTGTGCAAACTTCGACTTTTAAGCTGGTTGAAATTATGGTTACAATGGTTCCCAAGACACTTGGGGTACAACCTTAGAAGCATGTGATAGCATGTGTCAGGAGCAAGGTTGCAAGCTGCGGTAGAGGTTGCTCATGTTGTTTCGGGCAGCTATTTTGTGGTTGTCAAATTCCGGGACCAAGTTGGGCAACCGCGAAACAAGGGCCAACTTTCTAGCAAGGACCTCGTCAACAGTGCTGAATGATTCGAGCAGGCATGCATTCAGCAACGCACGCACGCACGCACACACACACACACAGCCACGGCAACTCGGCAGGTAACGACCCTTGGAAGTTACATTGGCGGCGCTCAACAACGTAATCTCTGCACCACAGACAGGAAGTGCAATTTTGCGAGCGAAGTCTGACGTGCAAAGTTCCTTGCGATGAACATTCTATCCATGTGGCTGAAAAGGCAAAGAATGACTGGCCTTTTCGTTTTCCTTTCGACCACACAAACCACGCAAACTGCTGAAACGCGCGAGGCAGCACCAGCTTCGCCGAGGGGGAGTGGGTGGGCGTCTACTGCCAGAAGCCAGTGGGCAAGAATGCCGTGGCCGCAGAGAGTGAGTGCCTGCGTCCGGCAGCGAGATGGAGAGAGAGAGAGGGAGAAAGAGAGCGGCAAAGAGAGAAATGGTGCGGAATGTTCTGAGACAAATGATAGAGACCTTGGAAAGGTTTTGGTTCGCGTCGTTGCCATCATGAAAGTTCCTGGAATTCGGAAGCCTCGTTTTGGGTTGGTCAATAAGTCCATTCACTCACTCAGGATCATGTTGCTTGTACCGTGTTGAAGGATGCCATCCACCCTCTTTGATAGAGAGGCTCCGTTTCTTCCCAGTCAGGGAACTTGAGGATGTTTGTGGCCCTTTTCAAGTGGAAGTTGATTCCTTAAACGTATGTAAATGTTATGTAGGGAAGCAACCGTAAATTGAAGGACAACCATACCGGTTTTTCAAATCTGCATGTCAGCGTTGGATGCGTTCCAAACGGAAACTGATGGACACAGGGGTTTCCAACAAGACAGAACAACTCAAAGTGACTGGTTCTTGGGTTACCATCTCCGAGCTGCAATGCCAACTGGTCCGACTTTTTGGTAGGTCCTCTCTGACCAGTCGCTTTCCCCGTTTTCGTCCAGGCCCATGACTTTGGCTATTTCCCAAGGGTCGGCCTGTCACTCGGGCCGATTTTGAGCATTGTCAACTCATGGGATTCTAAGTCCGAATCTCGGCCCTTTCCGTTCAGCTCATCACTTCTGAGGTCTCATTCTTGCATTCCGAGGTTCACTAATATGGGCTAGACTCAGAATCATTTTTGGTTTGGGCGGAGCAAACATGGGAAAAGGCTGAGGTAGGCTTGCGGCCAACTTGCCAGCTCTTTCAACCGAAGCGCCATGGCCCGTGTAGCTCAGGATGGCAGTGTGCAGGGCGTGCGCAGATCTGGCCTGGTTGGCGTATCCAACGGCTGCGGGTTGAAATCGTTTGCCATTTGTTTGAGGTGATTTGGCTGTGTTTCTGTGATGTTCAACATCAATCCTTATTCATTTTACCACATGGCAGTGATTTGGATTAGGATTTGGAGTCCCCGCAGCTTTATGCGAATGCAGGTTGCAGCTGGTTTGTCGCTTTGGTGTTTGTTGATGTGTATTATCGGAAGCGTAAGACGGGGTAAACCGATCTCACCCAGGGGGATCCCGTTTCCAGTTGGTGAACTTGTTGTAATTTGTGGAGGTTGTGGTTTGATAATTTTTGGGACATTGTTACCAGACTGTCAAGGTTGGCTTCCCGCCAACCATCAAAAAGCTAAGCTTTTTGTGCAAGGACAATAGACGCGAAGGGAACATGGGGCTTCCAGAACCCAGTCAGGTTCCATGATGGGTTGGCTTTGGCTCTTCCCGGGGCCCGTTTTCGCTTGACACATTGGCCATGTCCCGCGTGAGTGTAGATTGAAGAACAAAACATACGGATACCATGCCTTCTCTGAGCGCATGAAGGGGGTTGGTCAGAGGTTTATGCAACCCTTCCTCAGGTGAGCCACAATCAAAGCCCGAGTAGATGAAGGTTAGTTAGTAAGGGACAATCCCAACCACAAATAGCTGCGGCCGCCTTCTAAATCCTTTACCAGGTTTTGCTTATGACTCAGGCTGGTTTTGCTGAGGGCCCCCAACTTTTATGGACACTTCCAAGTCCAGCAGCATAAGGCCAGGGTAGGCGCATCAGAAACCAGTTGCGGGAACTTCGACACCGTTCTTGGTGGGCGGTTGGCACTGAATGTGCCGCAACTTGCTGGTTGTTGAGTGGGTGGTTTCTTTGAGCTGCACCCCCGAACAAAACATGGGACAGAGGCAACTTGGTGGCCAGGCTACTTTGAGTGCCCGGCCAAGCATGGGCTCTTCGCACGTGCGCCCAACCTGGTACGCCTGCAGAAGGTCCCGCAGGCGGCAATAGAACGGTCGCCAGAATCCGCATTGAAAGGCGGACGAAATCAACCCAAGGACACCGTTGAAGGAAAAGTTATACGGCCCCCGTTGAAAAGAACACCTTTTCAAAGATTGAAGGATTCCGTTAGAGGAAATCAACATGAAACAACAAAACGAAAGCGACCAAGTCCACGATTTTGCGAAACACCTGGATATACTGCAAAATGGAAGTTCAGGGAGACGTGTCCGCACAATGGCGGACCTAGCACCATGGCAGCATTGTTGCTATGTATGTAACTATTCCACTGGTCCACGCTGGACCTTCCCACACCTCTGGGCTGAGCTTCTATGGTTTCACCTTGTCTGACTGTTTGAGTGCGTTGAACCATGTTGAACCATATGGGAAACAACTTGGACTGTGAGAATGAACCCTCTGAACCATGATTTGGCTTCCTTTTAGGCAATCCGCGGTTAATTCCAAAATCCACTCTTGATTCCCTACTGGGCCCACTTGACAGATCCTGACGGCCAGGCCGAACCAGGCCGGAGACACTGCTTTCGCCAGAGGGTGGGCTACGGGACGGGGACGGAGACCCAACCAAACCAACCAACAGCCAGCGCCAACCAGCCAACCAGTCCAACCAGCCAACCAGCCAGCCAACCAGCCAACCAGCCAACCAGCCAACGAACGAACGAACGAACGAACCAACCAACCAACCAACCAACCAACCAACCAACCAACCAACCAGCCGTCAACAACGAAAGCTGACCTTTTTTTCTTCATCCGTTGGTTTCCGAGTGCTGGCCGATGTGTAGGCAGGCTTTCAACATGTATCTGTGTTTCAGATACGGGGCCTGGCGTTACCTTCACTTTGAGGGCTTATCCATGGTCTGTCCCCCTCACGACCATGGCGAAAGGGAATCTGATGCTGCACTGACCGAAATCATGTGCACGTGGGCAGAATTGCCTGGATCCAGTTGCCACTACAGTAGGTACTCAGGATATTTGCCCTCTAAGTTGTACATGGTGGAGTTCCCTTTTTTTCCGGTTTCCCTAGTATTCCATGGTTGTTTGGGTTACCTCTTGGTTTGACGTGGTTTTTCTCCCTGCTTATCTACATGGGCGAAACGCCGATCGGATCCACCCGCTCTTTAGTGGAAATCGCCCAGGCGAGGTTGGCCCGCGCTGGCCTCAGTTGGAGCGTGCGCGGCGCTGTGCAGTTGTGCTACGGTGAATACCTTTTTGTTCTGCCGGGGCTGGTGAACCCGTTACTAGCTGCTTTGAGAAAGCAATTATGGGGGCTCCTACTAAGGGACCCATGACACAGCACCCAGCGAACAAGTTCTGAGCATGGCACATGTGTCAGGTTTGTGGATAGAGAAGATCCACCCTATGAATAATAGTGAAAAGCCACCTGACCTATCAACTGGTGCAGGACCACAGGGGTCCTTGTTGTTATGTGTTGAACGATGCCTTATTTCATTTGCTACCCCCCAATCTTGTAGAATGATGGGACGCAACCAGCAGCTCTGATTTTTGAACCCAACGAGCATGTGGTTGTTTAGGCTCAAGCTTTGTCAATCCAGCCCTCCGGCCTTTTGTCAATATCCCTCGTGATGAGGTGCGTGGTGCTAGTTGTGCTTGCCGTTGGCCAGTCCAGTTTGGCAGATGCCTCATGTGCCATAGAGCTAGCCAGCCGGATCCCGGTTTTGGACCTTGGCAGCGCCTTCACAGAGGTCAGGTCAGGACCCAAATATCCCATATTGCTTTAGAGTCAGAGCGAGGGGAGCCCGGGGAAGGTTGATCCTTGGTGCTGAGTGGCGCCCAACAGTGTGCGATGGCTCCTTTTGCCATGGCTGTGAATCACGAAGGCAAGGGGCCGTATTTTCCACCAAGTTGGCGATGCAAATTGGGTGATGTCAAAGTAGGGGCCGTCCAAGATCCTTGGTGTCATTTCGGTTGTTTCAATTTAATTGGCGGTTCCCCCATAAGGGTGACACCCCCGGATTCCGTTGGGAACTTCGGCTGAAAGACCCCCAAGTTTTCGTCAAGGCAAAGGGTCCCGCAAGGAGGTTCTGGGTGCTATGCCCCTGATTGTTCCCACAGCTTCAATTTAGCACCAAGAATCCATAAAATGCCACCTATGCTCAGATATGTGATACGCGCGTAACTGAGGCCCGTGGAACTGCCCAAGGAGAAGCTGGAAGCAGGCGGGTGTCCGCCGCTAGAAAGTTGCTGAAAAGCGATATTAGGGCCTAAGTTGGGGCCGCAAAAGCAACGTCTCTCAACTGGTGTTTTTTATTTTCTTTCTGTTTGGGTTGACAAACAAATCAATCCCATCGAAGCATGTTTTGGTAAAGTGAAGGCAACAACAACGAGATCCTATTTCAAGAGGCAAGCCCAGATGAGCTTGGGATAAATCCTGTATGGCATGGCCCGCCCCAAGGAATTTTCTTGGGGCTCCCTGACGTTCGGATAGCTGGCCATGTCAGTGGGAATTGGCAGATCCACCATTGCATCCTTAACTTTGGGGGGGGGGGGCTGGGATATGTTTTGTATTGACTGGCGCCTTGACGCCGGTCGGCCCAGTCCCACAAATAGATTCGGCCACTTGTTCAACGTCTCCCTGACACTTTGTGTTTGGTGAATTTCCCGCAATGTGAGCAACCCAAAACGCCTGCGGGTCTCTGGGATGGGGGTGACATCACGCGATCTCGCAAAGGGGTTTGTGAGCTCACCCATGGAAGTACGTTCTTTGGGTCCCTTTTCGCCGGCCTTGGAAGTTATCCTTCTTTACACGTCAGTTTGTGTAAACTTCGTACAAAATAGCTCAAATATGAACATGTTGAAGGTTGGTGAAGTTCCAAATCGTCCAGATCCCCTGCTGCGATGCATCCGGAGTGGCAGCGTTTCTTCTTTTTGGGGGACTGGCCGTTCAAATCAACCGACAACAGCATGAGGGTGTTTCTTAAAAGACGGGACACCTGTTTGGATGGTTTGTAAACTGAAACCAAGAGAAGACCAATCACTTAAAGAGATACCCATGATCAAAGGCACCATAGTGTTGGGCACCCTGTGGATGCTGGAGCTTTGCAGTTGTCCAAAGCCGATTACTTGGATGTGATGTGGCTCTGGGGGTTGATTCCCCATTGTTTTCTGCCATCGTTCTTTTCAAAAACCAGCCATTTCCCCGGGTGTTTGGTGGTTTTCTAGAAAGACGGATGCCTGGAAAGAATGGGGAAGTTACCCCTAGAGTGGCGCTGGTTTAGTCGTTCAGGCCCAAGGATTGCTCCTGGCGCCTCTGCGCCGGAGGAGGAGACGTGGGGTCCCTTACAGAGTGAAACTAGAGGCTGTTGAAACGGGAGGGGTTTACACATGTGCCAAGGTCGAAACACCTGCTTTCTTGGGGCTGGAAAGGTTGGTCGACAATTTCAGAAAAACATAGATCGCCATGTGTAGGAAGCCCTATTGGCTTATTCAGGGAACCTTGACCATGACTCACATGAGGAGTTTCGACCATCGTACACATGGGTGGTGCTCAAGAGACACATGTGCCAGGGCAGCTTTTGTCGAATTAGTACTTGGAAAGGTCTTTGAGGGGCACTTTGAGGGACTTCTGGGCATTAGAAGTTGTGTTGCTCTGTTTTCCTATAGTTGTTTTGAGTGCAAAGATGGTCATGGCTGGTAAAGACATCATTTGTGTTGTCGCATGAAGCCGATGGGAGTGCATTGTTTGCCCTCCCAGCAGTTTTGAAGGTTTCGTTTCGCTCCCGGGTAGCCGCACTCAGATGCAGTCGCAAGATGATCAGCTTGGAGGTGTCAGGGGTCCAGGACGGTTGTTGTGTGTGTTTACATATTCTATATGAGCTCACCGATGTCGGGGTAAAACGAGCTCACCACAATGTAGATGTTATATTGATTTTCCTTCAGGTTGCGATATGATACTGGTCATTTGTTTGAAGATCAAAGCACTTTGGGCTAGACTTCCTTGAGCTGCCTTACCCCAAACCCTTTAGGGTTGTTGAATGATTGAGACTTGCCCGGACGCATTTGGGGTTGTGTGATTTCTGAGGGCACCTATTTCACCTTGGTAGAGGGAAACCAATCCGCAAGCCATCATGATGCTTGGGGTCCAAATCCCGCCAATTGACACTTATTGAGGATCGGTCAACACTGGAAGTTCGTCCATGCTCCTCTCTTTTGGGGACGACATTTGCCTTGGGGAAACACATGATTTTGACCATGGCTCAAGCGCCCTAGGTGCCTGCTAGAAAATCGGAAGGCTCCCAATGGTGATATTGACCATGGCTCACATTCCCATTGACTCCTTCGCATAGCGCTAGGACTCCCAGGCTGCAGCCCTGCGCAGGGAGCAGATGCCTCGGATGTGACCGGAAGAAACTCTCAGGGGGGGTGAGTGGAGCTAGCATTTCCTTATTTTAAAGCACTCAAGGTTCACTTCAATATTTTGTTGGGCGATTTTTGCCTATCGCTTTCGCTTCTCTTCAGGGAATTTGAGATATTTTGCTTAAACTACCAGATCAGGAGTTGTCTGGTTTGGCCACCATTTCTCTCCGGGGCTGGGTCTTTCAAGCACTCGAGGTTCACCGACTAGAGCCAAAGATAGTTTTGGGATGCAAGATTTGCTTAAACGACTAGACCCTGGTGCCCTTGGACTGGAAGCAAAAAACCCAAAGGAGGATGTTTACTTATGGAATTGCGGGTTCTCGCATGTTTCATGTGGTGGTTTGCCCAACCATGCTTTTCATGGCCGATCTTTGGAGAAGCCCAGTGGAGTATGTGTTTGGTGGGTATGTTTGCAGCTATGTTTAAAGGAGAATCTAAGGGCACCTTAGGTACCTTTCCATGTGAGAGCCGTCTTTTTGGTGGATAGTGTGGTCCTCCCTTTTGCCCGTTCCGATGGGTGTCTTTTCAAGCCCACCATTTTTATACCTCGTTTCCACACAAAAAAACACATCAGAAAACCCAGCTGTTTGAACCCGGTCTCCGACCAAGACCGGACCGAGAGCCCACGTCTCCAGGCTCGCCCGCGCGGTGGAGGAGCACGACTTCCCGCAACTGCGGAAGGTGCTGCCGAAGGCGAAAGACGAGATGCGCGGTTTGTATGTTCCATGGTCTCAAAAGCCGGTTCCTCCTCATTTGCGTACATATGTTTTGCCATTTTCCATGTTGAATTTAACGGACATCTAGCGCTATTGGAGCTGTTGTTTTCGGAGGACTTGAGCAAGTGGAAGAAATCCAATTCCTTTCCCATGGTGGGAAAGTCCCTTTAGGGTTGTGGGTAGACTTCTCCAACAGCAGATGTTGATCATATGGCCTTGCAGTTTTATTTGTGAACGCCCTGACAAGTAGTTGGGTGGACATAAATACACATGTGAATGAAATTCACTAAACGGCCCCCCTTCAAAATTCATACCCTGGCAATCAGAGGAAATCCACGGCCATTGTGGCCATGCGAGGTTCGGTAAAACAATCTGGTCAGCTGGGCTCCGCACATGGGGGGAATCACTCAGCTTCCCACACACACACACACAACACACACACACACGCACAACACACACACACAGCACACACACACACACTCCCGCACGCACACACGCCCACGCGAACAGCCCCAACCACAGCCACACACACACCAACAAACAAACAAACAAACAAACAAACAAACAAACAAACAAACAAACAAACAAACAAACAAACAAACAAACAAACAAACAAGCAAGCAAATAAAACAATCAAGCAACCAAACAAACAGAAAAACAATCAAACAAGCAAGCAAGCAAGCAAGCAAGCAAACAAGCTAGCAAACAAACAAACAAGCAAACAACAAACAAACAAACAAGCAAACAAACAAACACAAAACAATCAAACAACCAAGCAAACAAACAAACAAAAAACAAACAAACAAACAAACAAACAAACAAACAAGCAAACAAGCAACCAAGCAAACAAGCAAACAAACAAGCAAATCCACAAACAAGCACAAAAACAAGCACGCAAATAAACACACGTAAATCCATCCATCCATACATACATGCAAATACAAGCATACAAACCACAAATCACCAGCAGACTGGCTAATTGTTGCAATGCGCTATGGACTAGCAGCATATTTGGACCTCGGGAACCTCTAAAAGGGGCTACACCTTCCAAGTGGTCCAAGTCTATCCAAAAGGCTGACCGAGAAGCACGTGGGAGACGCCTTTGTAACTTCTAGGGCGGTGTTTTGCCCATCTTGACTTGTGCTAGTGTCGCAGATCAAAAGGCTAAGCTTTGATTTCGAGGTCTTTGGGGCGAGTGAGGCAGTAGGCAAATTACCTACGCAGAGAGGTAGTCGCGGCCAGGAGCCCGCTCCTCATGAGCTTCGCGATTGGCTTGTCACCACGCGTGAGATAGTTCGCAACGCATTTAGCTATGACTCGCAATGCGCCATGGACTGGGTCATGAGCGTCGAGAATGCAAAGTGCATTGAAGAAATCGATGGGGAGTGCCTTTACCCCCGATTTAACTCTGCGCTTAGAAAGTGCATTGTTTCTGAGCCCGTTGTCGCCAAGATCAGCAGACTGACCGAAGAAGGACAGGTTAAGAGGCGAACGAGGCTTAAAAGTCGTCAAATTCTCTTCTGTTACCTTCGGCCCGATGAAGTTGGGAGTCAGTCTATCCGAGCGAATGAGTGAACGACCTTTCCAGACTTTTAAAGATGCGCCAGGAGAGACAGAAGATGAACTCCTGACACGCCTCAATGCCTCAAGCTACCAAAGCAGATCGACCACTTGACCCTCTGCCAGGTGCTGACCCATTTTGGTTGAGCCAAACAAGTAAAGAGAAGCAAGTGGCTGGTTTGACTCCAAAACCATCCTCAAACGGTGCCACGGGTTTTTTGGGCACTTGGACGAAGCTCATTGTGTTCGACCGCTGAGACTCCGACAGGCGTCCATGACTGTGGCCTGCCGGGAAGTGGAGAGCGGCTGGAAGGTTCGGGGCAGGGTTGTGGTCCCTCGCCAGAAACAGAAAGAATGGAGCGTGTCCTGGGCAGAGTCAGCCATCAGATCCAAAACGGGGGCCAAAACACGCAAAACAGCTCTCTTCTGGTGACCTGCATGTGATGTCCTTCTCGCTGGCTTTGGGATTTCCCTTTTGTTGGGTTCGTTTTGTTTTCTGCATAAACACTAGGCGAAAGGGTTATGCTTCAAGTTCGGACTTCCCCGAGTGGGTGTTTGGCAACTTGAGCACTCGTCTTCCGTCTAAAGGGAAACCAACACTGACCCATTCAACAACTTCTGAATAACCGGTTTTGGCACGTTGACAAGTCAACTGAGCCACAATCAACCCTGGACAAATGAAGGTTGGAGAAGAATCCCAAGCATGCACAAAGTGCGGATATCCGCACTGTTGATCCTTTGCATGGTTTTGGGTGGACCCCTGAAATGACACTCGAAAAAGGCTTTGCACCCTACTTTCTTGTTTGGGGTGGTGACGAAGTGGTACCTTTCTTCGAGGAGCCAGGTTTTCGCTTTTGGCATGGGCAATCCCACGCACAGCGCGATTTCGCGAATTCTCGCGCAGCTCTGGGACTTTGAGTACTGCCGCCTCAAGGAAGCTGAGGCGCACCCATTGTTTTGCTTGGTGCTGAATAACTCACAGTATGTTGCTTGTTTTTTCAATAGGAAACCAGCAAAGGATGGATTATATATTTGTTTTTGTGGACCCCATGTTTGGTGCCAAATGCGCTCAGCCTGGAATGTGCTGCGACACACCCTTCATATGGCTCATGGTTGAGTATGAGTCCAAAAATGTCAGTATAGGGATTTGTTCAACTCGACCTGGAAGTGGAGACCGAATCAACGGTAGTTTTGGGGGGGGAAATTTGCCTGCTGAGGGAGAAAGACCCAGTCTCTCACACAAAACGATGCGATTTCACGATGGAGGCCTCAACAACAATCACAGCGGTCCTCCTTACCATAGCTGTCCAGCTGCCCCTTCTTGGCAGCAAAGATGCCTTCATTTTGAGTACTGCAGCAACTTGACTCACTGAGTGATGCTACAGCAATTCTGCCTCTTGGCGCGGGGCAGCAACATTCATCAAGCCACACCGAGGTCAGTTACAAGGCTTGCCGTGTTTTGAGGCGCAGGCAGAGACATATGAGCAGCAGGCAATGGTACCAGGATATCGACGTCTTGTGGTCACCTATCCATTTTGCAAGTTGATGGGATCGGCTTCTAGTGGTGATCGATCGTTCTAAAAAAAGAAGCGAAGAAACACATCAGCTGCTCATAGATTGACAGGCGCATGCTGCTGTCATGCTCTTGGGTGTGCCTCAAACGGATTGGATGCTTGGATGGTTTCAAATGCAAAGCAAGATGCCGTGGACGCCTGGAGGTGTCCAACTCCTTGAGACATCCCCCCCTCGTCTCAACATTGAATTCAACTGTGGACAGGTAAAGGAACACCAAAACGGACCTGTCTAGAGGCTGAATGCACGTAACCCCTGGATCCCTACTTTCAGCACCACTGGGACGACTGTCAGGCCAAGGGCCAACAACAAGTTGACCAGCTGAAGCTGGTCTTGTCCACCATCACCCAGGAGGCATCAACTGGGCTGCCCCGTTTTGAGGCTGCGTTTTGCGACACATAAGTGAAGTGGGTGTGTCATTTCAGGGGACCCCCAAAGTGGTGACGTTTCTTTTGGTGTCCCCTCAATCCAGCCTGAAAACAGGTACCCTCAAAAAACACACACACACAGCCACACAAGACAGGGTTGTTTGTGTTAGCCCCCGTACGGGAAAACATCAACGGACAACTTTCCAAAGGTGGTCGCGGATTCTTGGGGCTCGGCTTCGTAGGGGAGCACAGGCCTGGGCCAATTACATGTTTTTTAGATGCTTAAGCCACTGCTGTTCCAACAACGTTTCTGGTTGCCTTTAAGAAGGTCCACAATCTGGTTGTTTGAACCTATTTGGCCCGCTGGCTCTCAGAGCTGGCTTGGTAAGCCAAGGCTAGGCACATGTTTTGTTGAGCTCTTGTTGGAACAACCGGATATCCCTCATGTCCTTGACATTAAACCACTTTCATGCAACTTGCCTGACCGTGTGTTGCTACTGAGTTGTGTACGAACCGCACTGCAGTTGGCTTTCTTGCATGTCGGTAGATGCCCGTCTTTGAGATAGGATGCCTTCTGACATAGCGAACGGGATACTGATGTTTGCTGACTATGTAAATCTGTAGAAGCATATGGCATAGCTAGCATACTTCCAACCTTGATCAAACAAGCCACCCATATTTGTATCCACATCCACAGCTTGAAATCTCTTGGATTCCCTGTGCTACCTAGCTGATAATCGGTACGTTTCCCCAATCAGGAAGTCAGCAAGCCAACCAGGGATGCCTTTCTTGGTTTGCGTGACCCTGGCTATGTTCGATTTCTCCCGTCACCTGGATCCGGATTGAGCACAGGGTCGAATCGCCAGGTGCACCGCCTGCGAGTAGAGGAGCTGCGCCAGGAGAGCCATGGGTTCAATTTGCCCAAGGGGAAACCAATAGGAGACGGTGCATTTTGGTATTTTTCCAGACCCCGTTTACATTTTTGGAATTGCGACTTTGTCTAAACGGAAAGACCTTGTTTTAAAGGAAAACCAACCGCCATTGTCTAGTCCCTCCAAGTTGAGTACCATGTTGCTTCGGCCAAATGGTTAGAGTAGTAAATCGGAAGTCTGGACACGCGTCCTCTGGATTTTGCGGGTTCCCCCAGATAAGCGTGCCTTCTCAAGGGCTGGCATGTTGGTTTGTCAGCCTTGGCTCTGGCCTGATACTTTTAGGCATTACCAGTTCAGAGGCATCACCAGCATCAAAGGCAAAACCAGCATCAGCAGCAGCACAGGCATCACCAGCAGCCATGGATGCGGATTTGCACACATCGCCAAACAAAACAGACTCATATTTTTTTCCGGGCCTTCTCCGGATTTTGCGGGCCTTCTCCGGTTTTGCGGGCCTTCTCCGGTTTTGCGGGCCTTCTCCGGGTTTGCGTGCTCCCCGAACCTCTGCATGCTCGCTCATTTTTATTTTTCAAAAAAAGAAAAAAGTTGAGAAGGCACTGTCCACTTGGGAAAAGCCTATGGCCAAAAATGTGGTAACTTACAGTAAAAACGCATATCGGCTTTTCCCCGGGGTATCGTGCCTTCTCAGTGTTTTTTGTTCTTTTTTCCTTTTTTTTCCGGGCGGTTCCCCCCAGCCGGCTCTGCGTCGCCCTGATCGGATCCCCTGTTTGATTTCTTGGGGATCCTAGCTGGTTTTTGACCACAGGGGAAAAAACAGGGTTCCATTTCCAGTCCCAGGGGCCCAGATTGCTTGTGAAACAGCGCCTAGAGAGAAAGAGTACTCAGCGCGTTGAACCTTCGTGTGAGGGGGGGACAGCTGGGAAAGCAATCATCAAGTAAATCTATGTCTGGGTGTAGCGCCCTTGAGAGCGGTTCCAAGAATTGAGAAGGCATGGTCCCCTGGAGAAGCCTCGGGGATGGGGGTCCAGACCCTCGAGTAAACGCACCTTATTTGATAGTTTGGCTTGAAATCGGAGGCATCCCGGACTCTGTGTCACGCAGCCGTACAGGTTGGTTGGTGGGCGGGTCAAGCCATGTGTGCTTCTTGGAGGGCTCCCTTGACAGCTTGGCGAAAAGGGCAAACAAAAAGGGCAACGATGATGTGTTGGATTCCCATATGTTTCACGACTTGGACACGTCGGCTTCCGCCAGGAGGCGTCCCTGGCTGAGGAGCTACGGCAAATGCTCAGTGACTCGGCCATTTGGTACAGCAGAACATCTCTTGTTTAGGTTCCAAACTTTCAACCTTGTGTGGGCAGACTGTTTTGTCATTCGCCCAGCGGTTTGAACTTTTCCTGGCAAGTTATTTGAGAAGATCATTCTTTACCTTTGTCCTTTACTATGATGATGTGGACATATTTGAATTTCTACGTTTTAAAGTTGAACGCTGACCACGAAAGAAAAGGGGTGAGAACCTCAAAAATGATGACAATCACTTTTTTGGGAGCCCTTGTTTCAGCTTGGTAGGTTATTGTATTTACCGAGCTGGATGGGACCTGTCCTTGGTGGGGGCCAAATTTGTATTAACCAGGCTCCCGCCTGCTGCCGCCGACCCTCGGCGCATTAAGGGAAAAGTCACAAGGACCGGTCCTGAAACACGTCCGCAAACCCAGGGACCACTTATAAGATTTTCTACGACCACAAGGATTAACGGAAAAGTCAGAAATATGGCAGCTAGTCCGTTAATTGCCGCTTGGGCCGGCTTGCGCCCAAGTCACTTCGAGTTGGCCCGGGAGCAGTCGCCTGTCCCGGGTCGCCCTGAAACTGGCCCTCCCAAAACTGCCCCGGCGACAGTGGCCCTAGTGGCCCTGGAGCGGTCGCCGGCAGTAGATCCAGGGATCCTCTACTACCACAAGGATTAGCGGAAAAGTCAGACAGGCGGCAGCTCGTCCGTCAATGACCGCACGGGCTCGCGCCCAAGTCACGTTGAGCTGGTCCTAGAAACAAGGCCGTCGGTGCCCCTCAACCGGTCGCAGGGAGGGACTGGGACTTGGGACCCTGTCCGGTCCTGAAAAAGGGGTGCCAGTCGGGAAACAGCGACACTGAAAAAACAGGCTGTTTGAGGTGGCACCGGGTTTCTGCAGCAGGACTGGTCCTGGGACCAAACCTGGGTCGCAGGACCGGTCCTGGGACCAGTCCCAGGACCGGTCCCAGGACTGGTCCCAGCACCGGCCCCAGGACTGGTCCCAGGACCGGTCCTAAGACTGGTCCTGGGACCGGTCCCGGGACCGGTCCCAGGACCGGTTTTGGCTGACTGCAAGTAATGAAGCGGTCCCGGGACCGGTCCCGGGACCGGTCCTGGGAATCCACTTTTTGTGCTTTCAGGGACCATCATTGATTCCAATCACTTCCAGTTGCATCCCACGCCAGTCCCCTCTGCAGGAGGCTGAGACGGGAGGCAGAGGGTCGGCGGATTTTGTCAATGGAGGCTATGTAGACAAAGTGGTTTACTCATTGCTGACACGGTCAGAATTCCTTGTATGGGTCATGGTTCTGATTCCATGGGTAGGAACATGTACGTTGCTTGTACACTGCTTGCCTAGAATCCCTTTTTTAAGCCGTTGATGACATGTTGGAAGATGCGTCTCCAAATGCGAGAATCATGGGACACGGTCTTCATTCACCTTCCCTTCCCAACCAAACGAGCAAATACCCTCCAGGATACGGCAAAACAGCGTTTCCAACACTGTGTGCTTCTTAGAATGGGGGACCTCAAGAGTTGGTTTCTTTTGGTTTCCCTTGAATGTCCCCACATTTACGACACCGCCATATTATACCTTTGCAAAGGCGACTGGTTCATTCGGAATTGAACCTTGCAAGGAAACTGGCCCAATGCTGGGGCCTTTCCTCACGTTCCTCCAAGGTGACTTAGACGTTGCGAACCATTCCACCAGCCCTACCCCAACGCGGTTGCGTTCAAGGCTAATGTGAACCAGCATTGGTGAACTTGGTAGGTTGGCTCCTGGCAATGGTGAGTGGACTCCGACCAATTGTGGTGCATGTAACCAAGAGGCCAGCCTTCAAGATTCGAACATTGGCCACCACATAGGAAATACAGGGTTGGCTGCCAGGTTTGTGATGCCAGAGAGCCTCCCCTTATAAGAAGCCGTTTGCAAGGAAGGCAATTCCAAGCCGTAAGGATCTTTGCCCGGTCTCATGGCTTGGTCCCAAAGTGGCATCGCAAGGTGTAGCAGCCAAAGCATTCCGGTGCTTGAGGCCGTCAAGAAGAACCACGGGAACCACAGGGACACAGGCATCTTTTGCCGTTGGTCAAAACGAGGAGGCGACCCCTTTCAGAGAAAACGACCTGTAAGCATGACACAACTGGTTGGCCTCGGGGGCCTCGGGGCCTCGGGGCATCGAGGCAAGTGCAAGTCCGAGCTGCTTGGCCGGGCCGTCAGCTGATCCGAGAGAAAGCCGGTGAACAGATGTATTTCTTGGGCTGGTATCAGTTTAAAGTCATGGTCATAGCTAAGTTCTGTTTCTTGGCCAAGATCCCTTCAGAAAGATCCTCTACCAACACTTTTCTGTTTTGATTGCCAGGGGATCAAACTCGTGCTGCAATAAAAGGGACTAAATAATTGCAAGGGTGTTCCTATGATCATGACTTAGTCAGGCTTTAAAATACCCCAGAACCTGTTTGTTGTGGGGGGACCTTATACTACGAGTCTGGATAACTTGCTCTGTTGGCCAAGCAGGCCGAGAGCGGGTTTCCCGCATGGTTGACAAGTTGCAAGGCTGCGCTCTGGGGAGCCTAGAAAACTTCATTGCGTGGTCTAGAATTTGAAGCTTTATTTCCCAACGTTCTGACCACCGCGCAGTTTCCATTTGGCTGTGGGTCAATACCCTGTACCCCTGGTGAACATCAAAATAGGTGGTACATGGGGTGTTCATCCGCCCCAAAATAGAGGCATAGGTTATGACCCATGGCCATTTGATCGATTGACAGACCAAGCTTACCGTTTGCCCTGTGGGAATCCATCATTCTCCCGCTGGCTTGCATGAAGGTACCTTGGCAGGATGCCACGGGGCCTCAAGCTCTTCTGGGGTCAAAGCGGAGCAAGCCTGGTTTTGATCCGCTCAGGGTTGCCTCCTTGTGGGAAGGTATTTGGTTTGTCTTACTAGAAGAATGGCAGGAGGTTTGTCAAACTTTTCAGTAGTCTAAAGTTGATGTGGGAGGGACATGGGACTTTCTAAGTTCCCACGTGCCGGGCACATGCACCTGTGTTTGTGAAGGCTTACCAATTCCGAGAGAAGGGTTCCTCTAAGTGACGTGAGCCACCATAGCCAGACACAATTTGGCAATTGGAGATGCATTTCCCACCGGGCCAAAACAAATTGCCACGTTTTTTGTTGGGGTGGAAAGGTTCAGGTGAATAGTCCCCGCTCTTGGAGGTCCGACCTTTCCAGAGGCACGGGACTGATGGGTGCGTTTGGGATTTGCGGGAGTGACGTCCATTTCCCTTGAAACTTTGAAGCCCTGGTTTAGGCGCCACTTGTTGGTTGCCACTATGTGAGTTCCCTTTTGGGGCTGGTGTAAATGGTTTTGTCTTCAAATGAGGGGCCTAATCCACTCAGGAAGTTTTATGACATCCCGCCACCCTTAGAGGTGGGGGGATGATAGGTCTGCGGACCGCCGATACACTGGCCTCGAAAATGCTACAATATGACAGCAACGGGAATATTGTTTGCTATCTCAACGTGCTGACATTTGGCCCCCTTCCTAGAACACCATCTGGAAATGGGGGCGACTCATCAAACTCCAATGTCCTTGGGGGGACAATGAGTCTTGATTGTGGCTCATATGTTGAGGGTACCCTTTTTGGTGTTGTAAAGGACAACCGAAAGGAAGCAGAATCCTCAGGACTGCAAGTGGGGAACAAGGGCAGCCCTGTAATTCACTGCAACCTATCAGAATGTTGCTCTTGCATTTGCTTGATTTACATGCAATATGTCGCCGCCACCAGTAGTTGGTTGCCTGTTTTGCCCTCAAGCGAAGCACTCCCAGCATTTCATGTGTGATTTCGGCTGAAGGAACCCTGTGTCAAGCAACATGTTAGGCTTCTCATTTTCAGACTTGCACCACTTATTGCCATGTGAAACCCAGCAAAAAGTCGACTCTTGGCAGGGGTCGGATGAGTTTGGCAATTTTCCTGAAAGGACACCCATACCCCTATATGTGCGCACCAATATGTGAATGCAAAGTCCCCATTGAAACAGCAAACATTTTTTTTGTTTTTCCGAGGAGGTCGGATCATGCTGGCCAAGTTGGTTAAATACGGAGCATTTTCCATCTTTGTTGTGTACCCTGCGGATGCGCCAAGGTAAATGGTGTTGCCAAACATATGGCAAGGGGTCATAGATGGCTTGGGGTTATAGATTCTTACTTTGCTCAAGCCAACACGAGGATCCTCCCAGCAAGTGGCCCTTGATGAATTCCCACCCCAACTGTTCTGCGCCCAAAAACGTGTCACGGGCCGAGGAAGCTTCTGCCTCAGGCCACGTTGCGGGCGATCCGGCAGTCGGTGCAGGAGGCAATGCACCCACTGTTGGCGGAGCCCGGGACTTAGCCTCCCCGGTGGAGAACGGGAGGGGAGGAGTGTTAGGGGTCCTGTGGGCTTTCTTTGGAGTGGGTGTTCCTGTCTAGGTCGGTTTAAAGGAAGATGGGCGTTCCTGTCTAGGTTGGTTTAAAGGAAGACCGGAAAGCAACCACCATTTTTGGGGCCCTCAATTTGCCACATACCCTCCTGAAGCGCCTCATCTTTGGTTGGCCCTAAACAAGTGGTTGCCGCCTAAACTTCGGGCAAAGGAGGGGGCGTAAAATGGGGATGATTGTGGGCTTGTTAGCCCATCAAACATGCGAGCCAGCGAGCATTTAGCCAGCTTTGAACGCGGTCAATCGCATTTGTATTCAGCTTTATGATTGAATCAAGACCAAATCATTTGCAAAACGAACCTCTTCACCTACCGCAGAAAAAAATCCAATCCCACTTTCAACAAACCTTGCAACCCTTGGAAATCAAGCCTGCTAAGTCGTTTTACGCCTTGCACAAACATGTGCAGCATCGTGCAATTGTTGTTTCGCGTTTTAAAATAAAACCACTCCAACCCGATAGCTCAAGGTTCACAAAGGAGGCATAGACATTTCCAGAGCAAAGGCTAGGCGGCTAGGCCCTGCTTTGTGCTTGGAGCTGCAAATACCCGTGGCGTTGGCATGTTCCGTTTTGTGCCACCCCCTCGCCAGGTTGGCCACCAATCTCCGCGGTGAGGCTGGTCTGAAGCCGGACATCGGATGCCCTGAGATCGGCTGTATGGCGATTATTTTGCGGAACATTCCAACACAATTCTGGTAGCTGCAAGAGTGCCCTGCTTTTCTGAGAATGTCCACCAAAATGAAGCATCTTTTCCCACATGTGTGATATAATCATGTGGATTTTGAACTCATGACCTCTACAGGATTTACCTGTGTTGCATGAAATAATGACTGCTTGTGTCTCTTTTCTGCTTGCGACCTGCTTCTGGCAGGAGTTTGAGGGAGGGTGCCGATGCAACATGTCAGTTGGTGGCACTGCTTTTTTCTAACAAATTGATATAATCGATATGAATGAATCCTGTTGGCCGACAGGTGGTTTGCTCCTCGCCACAAGAACAGAGCGAACATCTGCGGATGACAACGAGCTCAGCAGACAAGCCAGCAGCCGAGGCGCAGTATGATTCTCAGCATGAGTCAGCTGCGGTGCGAATACAGGCTCAACACCGAGGCAATCAGGCACGGAAGTCAACAGCAGAGGAAAGGGAGAAGAAGGAGGCAACCAAGGCTCAGGCAGAGCAGCCAGCAGACAAGCCAGCCGCCGAGGCGCAGTATGATTCTCAGCATGAGTCAGCTGCGGTGCGAATACAGGCTCAGCATCGAGGAAATCAGGCGAGAAAGTCAACAGCAGAGGAAAAGGAGAAGAAGATGGAGGCGGCCAAGGCTCAGGCAGAGCAGCCAGCAGACAAGCCAGCAGCCGAGGCGCAGTATGATTCTCAGCATGAGTCAGCTGCGGTGCGAATACAGGCTCAACACCGAGGCAATCAGGCACGGAAGTCAACAGCAGAGGAAAAGGAGAAGAAGAAGGAGGCGGCCAAGGCTCAGGCAGAGCAGCCAGCAGACAAGCCAGCAGCAGAGGCGCAGTATGATTCTCAGCATGAGTCAGCTGCTGTGCGAATACAGGCTCAACACCGAGGAAATCAGGCTCGGAAGTCGACAGCAGAGGAAAAGGAGAAGCAGAAGGAGGCGGCCAAGGCTCAGGCAGAGCAGCCAGCAGACAAGCCAGCAGCCGAGTCGCAGTATGATTCTCAGCATGAGTCAGCTGCTGTGCGAATACAGGCTCAGCATCGAGGAAATCAGGTGAGGAAGTCTGCAGCAGAGGAGAAGGAGAAGCAGAAGGAGGCGGCCAAGGCTCAGGCAGAGCAGCCAGCAGACAAGCCAGCCGCCGAGGCGCAGTATGATTCTCAGCATGAGTCAGCTGCGGTGCGAATACAGGCTCAGCGTCGAGGATATCAGGCGCGGAAGTCAACAGCAGAGGAAAAGCAGAAGCAGAAGGAGGCGGCCAAGGCTCAGGCAGAGCAGCTAGCAGGCAAGCCAGCAGCCGAGACCCAGTACGATTCTCAGCATGAGTCAGCTGCGGTGCGAATACAGGCTCAGCATCGAGGAAATCAGGCGCGGAAGTCAACAGCAGAGGAAAAGGAGAAGAAGAAGGAGGCGGCCAAGGCTCAGGCAGAGCAGCCAGCAGACAAGCCAGCAGCAGAGGCGCAGTATGATTCTCAGCATGAGTCAGCTGCTGTGCGAATACAGGCTCAGCGTCGAGGATATCAGGCGCGGAAGTCAACAGCAGAGGAAAAGCAGAAGCAGAAGGAGGCGGCCAAGGCTCAGGCAGAGCAGCTAGCAGACAAGCCAGAAGCCGAGACGCAGTATGATTCTCAGCATGAGTCAGCTGCGGTGCGAATACAGGCTCAGCATCGAGGAAATCAGGTGAGGAAGTCTGCAGCAGAGGAGAAGGAGAAGAAGGAGGCGGCCAAGGCTCAGGCAGAGCAGCCAGCAGACAAGCCAGCAGCAGAGGCGCAGTATGATTCTCAGCATGAGTCAGCTGCTGTGAGAATACAGGCTCAACACCGAGGAAATCAGGTTCGGAAGTCTGCAGCTCAGGATAAGGCGAAGCAGAAAGAGACGTTGGAGGCCTGGAGATGATTGTGCTTGCAATGCTTAAAAGGCTCCACATCTGTGATGCATTCTCTTAAGTTCCCAGGTTGTACCAAAAGCCGCACTCATGCACTAGTGTTTCTTCATGGACACGTAAAGAGACCCCACTCAGTACGTAGAGCCTGTGTTGAGGGCGCCAGTTGTATTCCAACCACAGGGGGTGTCAGAAGGTAAACCTTGCCACTCCTCCAAACGAGTTGGCTTATGCAAGCGTCCGCTCTGTTGGTGGGTTACCCGTGTTGACACAAACCCATGTAGTTGCTTGCCTCCCGTGGTTTTTGTTGTTGTTTTTTGCATCGCACAATATTGCCAGGTTGTCATGTGTTGGGTGGGCGCCACCGGTTTTACAGGTAGTCGATGGGTAGTCCTCTATCGGTGCTTGGCGGCAATGCTGTGCGGTATTTGTATATAGATTCTACATATTCACACCTTTTTGAGTGACTGAAGCATCCACCACATGGAGGGCCATTTGCAAGATGAGTTTCTACTTGTTGGCGTGATTCCCGTGTGTGGCAACACTTTTTTTCTGATCTGCTCTTGTGGGCATGTGGCGTAAACGGCTGGTAGTATCCTTTGAAAGGGGTACCCAGTTCGACATGCCCACGTTGGCCATGTTGGATGCATCGCCATAAGTACTGCACCAGCTGTTGTGAATGGAATTTCCCTGTGATGAACCCTGTGTGGTTCAGACCCGTGCCCGGCTTTCTTTTGCCTTTGCCCAATACTGGCCCCCAAGCTGACAGTTGAAGAGGTCGAACTAGCTTTGGCACTTTTTGGCGGTTGCCAGCGATTGTCGGTTGAATTGCACTTCAGGTCACACTGCTGACCCCCAAGGATGTCGCTTTTCCTGGATAGTATCCTCGCTGGAAATCGTGGATGTGTGCTCAAAACAAGTTGTGCACGGTGACGGCACCGAACCCTTCAATGAAAACAAGGTTTGGTCAGGGATTCAAGCGAAGCAATGTTCCACACTGGCTTCCTTCGAGATGGACTGAGGCCGAATGAGGCCGACTCGTTGCGCAAGTTTCATGCCGATACACTACATGCAACATGAGGTTCGGTCAACTCACCAGTTGTCGCAGGTTCTTTTTGGGAGACAAGTAAGTTTGACCCTGCCCACACACACACACACACACGTATGTGTATTAATATATTTACATTCATGCACGCATGCATCCATACGTACGTACGTACATACATACATGCACACTTACACACATACGTACATGCAATGCATGCATGCATGCATGCACGCACGCACGCACGCACGCACGCATACATACGTACATACGTACATACATACATACATACATACATACATACATACATACATACATACATACACACATACACACATACACACATACACACATACACACATACACACATACACACATACACACATACACACATACACACATACACACATACACACATACACACACATACATACATACATACATACATACATACATACATACATACATACATACATACATACATACATGCATGCATACATACATACATACATACATACATACATACATACATACATACATACATACATACATACATACATACGCACATACACACATACACACATACACACATACAGACATACACACAGACATACAAACATTTGCATCTGTGTATATGCATATACATGTACCAAATGCATATATTGACCTAGTATGGTGGTGTCTTGTCACAATGGACCAACACACGGACACGGACCTCCGCGCTCTCCCGAAGCGCCATTGCCAGGGCCCCTCTCGGCTGTCAGTACCAGGCTTGGGTTGGCTTTTGGGGTTGTGCGGATCCGAGGTACCCGCTTGCGGTGTCCCCCTTTGATTCCAGGCAATCCATGGCCAAACTCCCCCATATCTTTTTCGCAGGGGTCAGAGGTCCATGGCTGAAATTAGCTCCGTAAGGCCTTCAGGGTTATCCTGAGCTTATTCCCGTGTGCCTTTCAACCCAATGTGGGCCCCCTCCGGGGCAAAGTGAAGTTTGGATTTCTCCGGAGTACCACAATAGGGGTTGGACCCCCCTTATGGTGGGGGGATCAATTCATGTTGAGTAGATTCCTTAGATTTAAATGTATGTCGACCATCCGGTTTTTCTGAGTTAAACATCATGTACCCCTTCCTCTTCTTGTACGCTTTGTTTGCTGAATGAGCAGCTCTGGGCAACTGTTGCGTGCTGGCTTAAATTCAAGGCACCGGTTACCCCGGACACAGGTTGAAGAAATGGCGGAGCCTGGGCAATGCGGAGTGAGTCATTGTAGCAAGTCTACTGTTTGCTCCTTTTCAAGGAAAGAACGGTCCCCCCTAGCCTGTTTCGTCGGCTCTTAGGGGCCCTTTTTTCTCCTTGACGCGGGGTCAAACATGTGCAGTCTCGTGTTGGGTGCCTCAACCTGTCACCACATTCCGTCGATGGCCAAGCAGAAACGGAGTGTGATGCAGGAACATGATAGCGTTTGAAGGAGCTAACAAACACAACATACTCAAAGTTCTGACAAATGTTCCTTTAAACCTTATAGGCAACAAAACAGCACCAACTTCCCTGCGATGTCTTGGGTACAAACTGGGTCTGGGCTTTTGTGTGTGTGTGTGTGTTTCTTTATGGCAGTGTGAGGGGTGTGAGCACTTCTTGTGAGCGTGTTACCGGGACTACCGAACTTGACATTAGCAACTGAGATGGTCAACACTGACGTCAGACTTGCCACAAACAGCTGCGGGGGTTACTCTCCTACAGATACCCGAAAAGCGGCCCCCGCGATGGAAGTCCTGTATGCATGAACAAGTGTTGGGCTCCAGCGAATTACTTGTACATTGGTTTGTTGGATGAACCGGCGGCACCGGTATTGTCAGTGTTTTCAATTTACTGTTGGGATCTTCTTAAGTTTGAAGCACACCGCGGAAATGCAGAATCATTTGTAGCTGCCTGTGTTCCGGAAGTTTGCATGCGTTCGACTGGTTCGTTTTTGTTGTTCCCTTTTTTTTCTCGATGCAATTTGTGCTGCTCGCGTTGATTTCGGTTGAATGCTGCAGACACGGCAGAAACACAGCGGTTTCCACCACATCGCCGATACGGATCACTTGGGCTCAAGGCGGCCCGTGTAAAAGGAATCGGCGAAACGCGCGGCTCGTGACATTTCCAGTCTGAGCCAGGCGCTTAGAGGAAGTCGTTGTTGTCCTGGGTCGCTCTTTGACCTTGAAGTTTCTGAAATTTGGGGCTTGTAGAATATGGTGGCTTCCACAGCCAGACAACTCAGTAGCAGGTTTGCCCGTTGAGATGTTTGAACCTTCGGAACACTGTTTTCCTACCTGGTAGCAAACGATTGGACGTTTTTGCAGTGGGCTCAAGACCAGCCCAGTGGTTGCTTGTTGTGGCCTCATTCATGATCCTCCACGGCAAGACGAGAGGATACTCTATTTGTTGTGGGCAGCCCCTATTTTATTAGCACGCAGTCGTTCAGTCCGAGGAGAGCTATCGGAGAGCCGCTTATTTTAGTCCGGTGTACAGGCAAGACCGTGCGAGTACCCGATGTGGGACTCTCGGAATTGCTTTTTGGATTGGTGTGCTACAACCAAGGTTGCTAGCCAAGTTGAATAAACCTTGGTAAAACAGTTGCCCAATCTTCTCGATATTTGTTGAGCTCCCCCCTTGGGAGCCCTTCACGTGAGAAACCCTGGGCCAACCAAGCAATAAAGAAAGCCGGCAAAAGCACTTAAAGTCTCAGAGCATGAATAGGGAGGCCCCTCGTAAATGGTTGGGGGTGGGCATGAATCCCAGCATGTATTTGTGTTGATGTCCACCAAAGCGTTCATTCTAGTGCTGATCCCCCGCTAAAGTATAGGGAGGGGGGCCACATCCACTACGGGTCTTTGTATATTATACAATCCCCGTGCTTTCCCTTGGTGCGCAACGGAAGTCATGAATACTCAGGGGGACCCTCATGGTTTGCAGTTCGGGGTGGGGGGATGCAGTCCAATATTGATTCAAAGCCAGAACCAAGGGAGCTATGGGTCCTGAATGTCCAGTGGACAATATGAGTTACCCATCAGAGCCCTCTCGGCTGCAACTGCCCTGTGGCTCTAAATTAAACACACGCCTCCAGGTCATGAAGATCAACCTCGCGAACCCCACGACTGGCATGCAAAAGCCACTCGGCAAAGCCCGCCATGTCCGCGCCGTTTCCTAACGTGCAGGCGCGCAGAATGGGTTTGTGGGTTGCTATTCATCGATAAGTACGTTACCCCGTGGTCCTTGAATAACAGTGTTTATAAAGAATTGGTTTGCCGCTTTTTTTCGGTCCAAACTCTGGTTGAGAGGTTCTATTGAGCATGTTTTGTCAGGAACGGTTGTGTAAAATTGTCCTGCCGCGTCTCGTGCTCAGTGAATGCATGGGGAAATTGAACATCGTAAGAAGATCATCCATTCCTTGGTTCTGGCATATTGTGGCTGCTGGACCAAGCGCATATTTTGAAATTTTGGGGAATGAGAAAGCAAAGGCGCGGAAAACAGCTAAGTAACATCTGCAATCCGTGAGGTGTGTGTGTGTGGGGTGCGTGTACAGCAGACCTAAATAGGATAGCATGTTCGCTACAAACACGTGGCCGCGAACGGTATGGTACGCGCGAGGACAGATGGAGTGAGCTTCACCTGTATGACTGTGGGTAGGCGGGCCCTTCCAAATCCAAAGCTGTCAACCCAGAAGCTTGCCGGAATCCTGTTTTGGCACCGGAAAGTTGTGTTGCGCGCCCTTTCAAGGAACCCGTATCTTGGACAACGCGAGAACCAGACAGAATGTCTTCTGAATTGGATAAGACTTAATCTTTCATTTTTCCAGATGATTGTGGAAAGATATTGTCATGACGTGCAGCTTGACCATGAGTTATCCGCTCCCTCAAGTAGATGGGCGATGGGTGTGTGTGTGTGTGGGTGTGAGCGCGCTTCTGTGATGGCACGCTTTAAAAGGATACCAGCACGACAGCCCCCATTGTTCGGGCCCCCCTTTTCAGACATACACAACGTGGGCATTTTTGGTGTTTGGCTTCTTGGTTTAAGAGACACGAATAGGAAAACAACCATTATGCCCCCCTATTTGGTCATGCCCAAAATTGACTTTCTGTGACTTGAGGAAGATCGAGATCGATGACGACAAGATGCTGTACCCGCTCTTCGACAAGCGGATGGCCCAGGAGGCCTTCTGAAGCTCCGGGTTTAAGCGGCGGGAATCGGACAAGAGCTGTGTGGAGCAGGGGTGGAAGCAAAAAAGGTACCCTTGTGCCCTGCATCCCTTTTGGAAACCAATCTCTTTCTCTCTCTCTCTCTATATATATACATATGTATCCAAAAAGAGGTTAGCATTCTAGGGCGGGTCCCTTTTTAGCGGGTCCGGATTGATGTCTTCCAGAGGGGGTCCACACTTGTGTTGCACTCTCTACCTGCTTGCAAGCATCATGGAACTAAACTGGGCTCATTTTAAGAAGAGTTGCAAAAGCCTCGCCTATGCTCTTCCATAAGTTTTGGACATATAGGTTTTGCTTCAAACATTGTCCTCCCGACCTGCTTTTGTTGACCTGCCAGGGCTCTTCGCCGGTTTTTGGTTTCACCCCTTTTACATGCAGGTGTCAACATAGGGGAACCCCAAGCATGGATAGTATCCTTTTGGTTTCCCTTGAACAAAGCTCCCAAAGGGGGTACCCGAGCAAAAACAAAAAACACACGTCGCCCTCCGTTCCCGCAGGTGGCTGGGGACTCCCTGGGCGAGGAGTTCAAGGCCGCGGAAGCATTTGGAGTTGGGGGCCAGGGCATCCCCAAGAAACGGCTTGGTGTCCGAACCAACCAACCAACCAACCAACCAACCAACCAACCAACCGACCGACCGACCGACCGACCGACCGACCGACCAACCAACCAACCAACCAACCATTGCTGGGCAGCACTGGCGCGGAGCCATGTCGGCTGAAGCGACAGCTGAACATTGGTGAGACTGGATGTTGGACAGAGAGGCTTCCTGGGGCCTCTTTTTAAGGTTTTACACATTCACTTACTCAGAATTGTCGCATGTTATTTGAGTTGCTTGATTATTGATTAGATAATGTTCCTGGGATCTGATCTCTTTTGGTTCACTGACAACAAGCCAGAATCCAGCATGTTCTGTTTGCTTGGCGGCAAAAGCTGAGGTAGCTTCCCGCAATCGCGGAAGCCAGAGGTGGTGACGACTTGGAGACTGCTTCCCCAATTTGGCAGGTGTCGACTAGGCACCCTTTTTGGGTTGCCTTTACGGGAAAACCAGCACACTAATCTACCTGATTGCAACCCCCTGCTTTGCAGGGCTACGTCTTCCGCATTGGCGGTGGCAACGACAAGCAGGCGCGAAATGGTTATCTCGTTTTCTCATCTCAATTTGTCGGTGGTGATATCTGGGTATGTAAGGACCCCGCTTTGTCCAATGAGATGAGATCGGATCTTCAGACATGTCAGCTCTGACGGCCAGAACTGGTGTCTCCTCCAGAAACACGGCTTTGTTCTTGTTGCGGTAGACTGTTAAATATGAAACAACAGAGAGTCAGAAAAGCATATGCCCATTGTACCCGAGATGTGGGCCCAGCAAACAGCCACTTTGATGCACCAAAGCTGAGGTCTTCCATGTGGCTCTAAAATCTCGACTTCCCGAGTTTTGGACTTGTTTCTTTGGGGGAAGATCATGTTGGCTAGAAGCACCGCCGGTCCTAGCAGTACAGTATGGTGTTCCTTGACGCGCTTTGGATTGTTTGGCCT